AGTCACATAAACAAAGCATTACAATGCAAAAGGACAGTATTTTCGTGTTACTTGGGTATACAGCAAAAGTAAATGGGTTGGAGCCTGAGGCATGGCTCGGAGAAAAGCTGCTGAGCTCAGGTGATACAGCCCTCTAGATGATCACAATCTATGCAGGCAGTCAAGTGGTCAAATTATAAAACTTACCGTCGGAACCCTCATGCAAGCCGTAACAAGACATAGTTTAAGGATAAACTGCGAGATAAGCCATATCATTTGCGCTAGTAAAACGAGAAACGAAATGTTGCATAAATACATTCTCATTCAGAGTCAATACTGATGCGCCAAGATCGAGTGCTCAAAATAAAACATTATGGTTCTTATATAGGGTCTTTGCCCGCCTTCTGTCACTTGAATTTCACAACTGCTATCCCTTCAGTTTTGTAAACGTCTTTTAAGTTCATGATCGATTTTTGAACTGGACTTTTAGTGTAAAATCAAGACTTTGCCCTATCATAATATAATAAGATGAGCAAACCATGAAATGATCATTATTCTATCAGCCTTGAAACGTTTGTTCTAGCTTTTTATGTAAATTACTTAAAAGGCGGTGATAATAAATATTTCGATATAAGTGGATGTCGTTGCTAATACGGTTTTTCTCTCGCAGGTGGCGAAAAAGTGGGCGGAAGCCAGAACACAGTGGTGTGGCAGAAATGTCACATACCTCCTTTGATGGAAGTAAAAAGAAGGCAACGGATATAGAGTGTGTAGTTGAATACATAGATGGAACCTGCACTACATTCTTTTTTCCTGTAAGAGATTATTTTTACTAGTGGTTTAGAAAAATTCTGAAGGTGGTAAATTATACGACTTGGCATTTGCATTTATCGGACTTAATGATGAGCGTGAGTACTTTGGACTTCGCATTGATAATAAATTAAAGGTGAGGATTTTGTTCACACTAACTATTAGAATAGCCTTGGGTTGACCCAACAAAACTTATTCGGAAGCAATGCCTAGGTTGAATATTTATTTGTGGGTTATATTTGTTTAGTGGGTCCGCCTTACCGATTTATTATGCAAGTAAAATTTTTCTCTGCGGAACCTCAAAAGCTGCGTGATGAATATACTCGTTATCTCTATGTTCTCCAAATAAGAAAACAGTTGGAGCAGGGAACCCTTCAGTGCACAGATGATCAGATAGCCGCTGAATTGGCTGCATTCCTTCTTCAAGGTAAAATTTTTCGTTTAACACATTCCTCTTTTAAATTATTATGTACCTCTCATAAATT